AGCCATGTGGAAGTATAAGCACCTTAACCACCATGCCACATGTTGGTCCCTCTATAATAGATTTTTTAAATGGAGTTTTACATACTTTTATTTATTTCTCTGATTAGACTTAATTTCTTCTAAATTTTCCATGTCTCCAGAATAGAAATCTCTGAAGCCATTTTCATTCATTCCGCACATTCACCTCTGTTTATTTAGCTCCTTCTAGGTGATGAGCACTGCAGAATGTGCTGGCAATACAAAGATGAACATGGCAGGCACTATTCTGCCCTCACAGACATCATACACTAGAACTTCTGCAAAGAATCGAGCAATTGATATTACAGTTTTTCAGGCTGCAGGCACTCTGCTGCAACTACTCAGTTTTGCCAGTATAGCATAAAAGCAGCTACAGGTAACACAAGTGAATTGGTGTGGGTGTGTTTCAATAAAACTTTACTTACAAAAACAGGCAGTGGACCAGGTTTTCTGACAGGACTTTTCTGACCTCTGCTTTTGAAAAGAAGGCTTATAAAAGTCACCAAGGAATTAGTAACACATTGTGATAATTAGTATAATTGGAAAAATATAGTGAGCTTCGGGAATATATTGCAGCTAAACAGATTGGGTGTGATCAAAGAGGACTTCTAGGGAGAATTGGCGTTCTCAAAGCAACCTGAAGTATGAGTAGGAATGAACCTCTCAAAGCAACCTGAAGGGTGAGTAGGAATGAACCAGGGAATACATAAGAGAATTGGTGTGGGTGTGTGAGTTTGCCAGAGAGAGAACAAAAGTACCAGTGGGGCATCCTTTTTTCCTCCATTTCTCCATTCCCATCAGGATTTTGAGCATATACACACACATGTCAGGCATGATTTTCAAGATGCTAGGGCTGGGATTTGAACTGTGGTCAACTACATGAATGGTTTTCTATGCACAGAACTTAACCACTGAGCTATGGGGCCAGCCCTTAACTATGTTTCTTATGAGCACTTCTTTATTCCACAAATACGTGAGTCATTCATTTGTCTCATCCCTTTTAATCAAAATAATTCATGTCCTCTCACCTTCCACAACAAGTTCATCATTTTTTTCCTTCAGTCTGTCACATTCTAGATTTTGCTCAATCTATCAACAGTATTATAAAAATCTGCACAAAAATAAAGCTGAACTTAAATAAATTTTTTAGTATGTACACTGTACTTAAAAACATTTTTTTTTTTTAAATAAAGGCAGCACTCTGACTCCATGAATCCTGACAAGATGACTGAACTCTGTGGAAATCATCATAAACCAGGGTCTGGATTAAAAAAAAAAAAAAAAAAATTTATCTCAGTCTTTAAAAATTCTCACATTTAAAGCTTCAACAAACATGAACTCATGACCAAAAATCAAAAACACACACAATAGCAAGGTAGCATGAGAAAGCATTGCAGAAGAGGTAGCAAAAAGTCTGACCTGCAAAGCTGTCATATAAAAGAATATAAAATCATGTGTCATTTAGATGTTGGTAATACATTCTGAGAAATGCAGTGTTAGGCAAGTGTCCATTGTCTGACAAACCATCCAGGTGTGTACGTACAATCTCGGTACTCTCTCACATCTCGGCTACACGGTGTATAGCCTATTGCTTCTGGGCTGCAAACCTATGCAGCATGCTACTGCACCAAATGCATAGGAAATTTAAACTCAATAGTATTTGTGTATCTAAATACAGAAAAGATACCATAAAATACAGTAATAAAGATGAGATATATACCAGGTAAAGGATGTTTATTATGAATGGAGCTTGCACGACTGGAAGTTGCTCTGGGTGAGTCAGTGAGTGGTGAGAGAATGTAAAGGCCTAAGACGTGACTGTCCCCTACTCTAGGCTTCATGCGCACATCCTTGGGCTACACTAAATTTGTGTTCAAAGAAAAAAATATTATTTTTTTTTTAGTAGTAAATTTATCTTGGCTTACCGTGACTTTTTTATTCTATAGTATTTTTAAGTTTTTTTAAAAATGCATTTGACTTTTTTACAATAGCACGTAAAATATGAACATATCATATAGATGTACAAATATTTTCTTTCTTAACGCCCTACTCTATAAACTTCCTTTTTTTTAATTAAAAAAAAAATCTTTTAAACATTTTTGTTAAAAACAAAAATACCACCACACATATTCACCTAGGATCATCAATATCCCTGTCTTCCATCTCCACATTTTGTCCCACTGGAAGGAACACAATGAACAAAAACAACATGAGATTAAATCAAGCACAAGAGAAAACGATGCAATGAAGGTGAACATGAGATCTATGGGGGTGCTGCCAGTGTTACAGAGCACGATGTTTTATGGTGAGATAATAAGTAGTTGAGTACACTCTAAAATAATACTTAAAAGTATTCAATAGAATAATACTCATAGGTATAAATCAGTAACAGTTGTTTACTGCCATTATCAAGTATTATGCACTATGAAGACTTGTGCGTGCTATACTTTAACACAACTGGCAGTGCAGTAGATTTGTTTACACCACCATCACCATCAACATGTGCGTGATACACTGTGACGCCATATCAGCTGCAACATTATCCTCACTAGGCACGAGGAACTTTTTACCTCCACTATCATCTTATGGGATATATAAGATATTCAGATATATGGTCTGTCACTGATTGGAACCTCATTATGCAGTATAGGATTCTATTTAATAGTTTTACAGAAATAAAAGAGAAGATGAAGTATATGAGCAAGAAATAAGAAGCCATGAAAAAGACTAAGTTTTAGAAATCCAATAGAACTTCTAGAAATGTGCTAATAAATGGATTTAAAACCAGATTAAACACAACTCAGGAAAGAATTAAAATATACATAACTGTAATCTGTTAATTTACAATTATCAAACAAAAGACTTTTCCAATTAAAAAAAAGAAAGAATTGGTTATTTGGAAGACATAGATTAAGCAGAAGACTAATGTTGTCAAAGAGAGAATTAAAGGGAGTTAAGAAATAATTATATTCTGTAAATGTGTCAATGAATTCTATGCCTGGTGTGGTCTGCTGGAAGATGGATCCAAATGAGGGATCAAGGGTTAAAGTAGAAACACAAGTAGCTAGAACATATGAAAGATAAAAAAACCTACTAGGGATATATGATAAAGAGAATGTGGAAAAAGCAATGCTTGATGGATAGTTTCCAGAATATATGGGATGAATAAATGCAATCTTCAGACATGAAATGAGAAGCCTATTACCAAATGAAGAACTTTTCCTTGTACACTATAGTTGGCCAAGTTCCAATGAAGGTGTTTTCTTTTACTTTTTTTTTTTAAGGGATTTTTGCTAGAGGGTGTGTGTGCTCATCAGAGAGACAGAGAGACAGACAGAAAGAAAGCAAGAAACCATCTCTCAGAGGGTGATTATGACCATGCCATAATCTCTTTTCCATGTTCCTCTTGGGATTTTGGGCATGCACACACATGCATCCAGCATGAGTTTTAACCTACCAGGTGTGAGACTCAAACCGCAGTCGACTACATGGGAGTCCAACGTAACCATTATGCCATCTGCTGGTACCCATATTCTACTTTTAAGAGGTCACCAAGTTGTGAAGAAGCACTGGCTTTCATAATATTAGACTACTTGGGTTTCAAAACCAGGTATTGTGAAAAACATTCTATCCACTTTGCGTTTTTCTTCACCTTTTCACAACATTGCTTTGCTGTTTTTAATGAAAATTCAGACACACAAAATCTGGAATCTAGGCGTTAGGGCAATGTTGAAATCCCTAGACCTGGTCGGGAGGGGTGACTATATATGGCGTGGGGCTGACAACTGTTTTGTATCCCAATTACGTGGTGGGGATGTGAATCTATCCATGTGCTGTAATTCCTAGAACAGTACTCCAAAAGAAAAAGGTCAAGTTTACAGTATGATAGTTTACAAAAATCTAAAATAATAAGCAAATATAAAAAGTAGAAATCCCCATATCTGGTACTGTGCTGAACACAGTAGTGATTGCACAGGAAGGTTGCTGACCGATGACTAGCATGGTCAAGTAAACAACAATAGGAGATAAGAAAGCTTACTGAAAGTGTGCATCTGAAAAAAAAAAAAAAACTTAAAAAAACTAATAGTGTTGAGATCATGAAATAAAATTGGACTTAGCAAATATGATGTCCCAAATGTTCCTCACTCACTCATAAAACAGACTCAGGTTTACAGAATAGCAGACAGCATAGTCATTGAGGCACTGGACTCCCACATGGTCAACTGTGGTTAGAGTCAGATTAGTGGTTTGAAACTCACACTGGGCGTGTGTGTGTTTTTGCCTGAAATCCCAAGAGGAGAATGGAGGAGAAGGGATTACAACATTACTATCCCCCCTAGGGGGTTATTTCTCACTTTCTTTCTCTCTGCCTCTCTCTGCCTCTCCGGCTAGCACATGCACCCTATGGCAAAAAATACTCTCAAAAAAAAAGAAAAAAGAAAGAAAAAAAAAGAAAGAAAGAAAGAAAGAAAGGCAGAACCTTCAGCAACATTTATGAATCATTTACTATTACAATATTACTATTTAATGAGGGATGAAAACAGGAATTATTTTATATCCTATGCTACAAACTACCTTTAGCTACATAACTGAAAACAAGTATGGCAATGTTTTTCTTTTCTTCTCTTTTTTCTTTTTTGCTGTTGTTCTTTTTTTCATTTTGCTAGCAAGAAACAGAGTCTAAGAGAGAGGGATAAAGCACATCCCATGGGGAATGCTCACCCTGCAATCTCTTCTCCATCTCTCCTGCCTTCTGGAATTATGGGCATGCATGCACGTGCAGGTGCCCAGCATGTCTTTCAAGCTGCTGGGTCCAGAACTCAAACATGCCAGTTGGCCATGAGGGATACAGCCACCTTAAAGACCAGACCAAATGTTGGCCTAACAGTGTCTTTCATAATTGATAAAAAATATAATGCATTTAAAGACATTGTTTCCTCATGTCTATCTACTACTCTCCTCCAAAAAGAGATTGGACTCACCTTTTTATAGTCGTTATAGTAATGGGCCATTGTTCCTTGCCTTTCAACTTCAGATTCAGTTTCAAGAACGAGAAAGAATAGTTTGGGCAAAACAGATGCTTCTAACATTTTTTATTTAATCTGGAAAGTGGGCAATCAATATGTTTACCTGATTGCACAACCGTCAATTGGACAGCAAAGTCTCTTTAAAGTAAAGCACCGCGTTGAGTGGCTAACACCGGGGAGGTGGAGAGGCTACGTAAACATCTTTGTTAAAATACAGTTGGATTTGCTCTTACTCTGAAGCACCCCATTTGAGGTACCGTTTAGCAACTATTACCTTAAAATAGAGATTATGATAAGTGACAGATTCAAATGATTACTAAGACGTAAGATTTTGGCATTTCTATTTAGTATGTGACCACATGTATTTGCCATGACTCACGGAGAGTCAACTGCAAGAGAAAAACACGAAACATACTTAATTTAACATCTAGCTATCAGTACAGAATTCCCCTGTCTGCAAATTCGCACTATACAATATTCACTCCAAAGGGTTAACCATATATCCTTTTTTCTCTTCAGAACTTTTTGATGACTTTACAAACCAGTGAACAATTCAGCACAAAGGGTTCCGGAGTCACGCTGGCATGTTGTGACAGAATCACACGATTACATGGGATTCATCGCCATCTGAAAATGCCCGAACAGCAAACAACAGAGGCAAATGGAACCAAGCAGCCAAGCCACCACAGCCTGAGAGAGGCTTGAAACTCAGACTCCACAGTTTACAGGGAACATTTCCTGCTATGGCATGGAAATGCCATAAAGGAGACGGATAGAAAATGGCAGTAAGACTTCTAAGAATAACCCTTGCTCTGCTCTCCCTTGGCCTTTTTGGGATCCTGAGCGCAGCAACAATATCATGCAAAAATGAAGAAGGCCAAGCTGTGGATTGGTAGGTAAGGGAAATGGAGGATTGGTACATGCAGAGAAAAAGCCAGAGTAGGGGAGGCTGATGGGCTCCCTAGGAAGTGCCTAAGGAGAACTTCCACCCCACATTCTGCCTTTAAAAAGAAAGGGGGGGGGCACCTATGATGTAGCAATTAAGTTGCTGGACTCCAACATGGCCATTGGAGTCCTGGACCTTTGGGTTTGAAAATCATGCCATGTGCATGTGGGTGCGTGTCCATAATCCTGGGAAGAGAGTGGAGGAAAAGGGATTTTGGCGTGGCATCCCCCCTGGGGGAATGACTTCTCACTTTCCCTCTCACTGTCTCTGTCTCTGGCGTGTGCAAGCACCCTAAGGCAAAAGAATCTCTAGGAAAAGAAGGAAGGAAAAAAAAAAAAGAAAGGGAGGGGCCAGAAGGTAGAGTGTTGGTTACGGCACTGGACTCCCACGTGACTGACCACAGTGTGAGTCCCAGACCCGGCAGCTTGAAATTCAAGCTGAATGTGTGTGTGCGTAGCCAAAATTCCAGAAGAATGGAAGAGAAGGGATTATGGCATCACCACACCCCCAAGGGGTGATTTCTCACTTTCCCTCTTACTGTCTCTGGCTAGCACATGTGCCCTATGGCAAACAAACAAAAAAAAGGGTGAGGAGCCAGGCCATGATGTGTCATGGTGGTTAAGGTGACTGGATCCCACATTACTGACTGCAGGGTTTGAATCCCCAATCTGGTGTGTTGGGTGCATGTACATACATGCCCAAAATCCCAGAAGGAGAGATGGGGGAGGAGATTTAGCGTGACCATCTCTCAAGGGAGGGGGATGCTTTCTCACTTTTAATCTCTCTCTCCCTCTCTGTCAATCCAGAGAGCACATGTGCACTATGCGAATTACATATATATTTTTTTATATACTATATAACATATATATATTATAAATTAATATATTAATAATTATATCAAATATATATTCTAAACATACATGAAGAAAGTTAAAGTGTGCAATCAGGCCCCTTCCTGGACAGGGGAGGCTTCTGAGTGGGGGAGCTTCCCCCGAGAAAGAATCTGACTCGCTACTCTCAGCAGGGCGAGGCTGGGAGCCACACGCGTGGGATTGAGCTGACAACTTCTGTCAGTTGGCAATTTCCTTTAATTACACATGGTTTTTACTAACAGAACCCTTCGAACATTTTTTTAGAGATTGACAAAGGAGGGAAGGCAGATTAATTTTTTTCTGAAGCTGAGGTTTCCACTTCTCCTTGTGAGATGAAGGAGAAGGGCCTTTTGGTTAATCTGGGTTCATCAGACAGCACCGGCAGCCAGCGGAGTGGTCACTGCCCCTTGTATTGTGTCAAAGAGGCTAAACACACCATTGCATTATAATCACAAATCTTCCTAAAGCTTTGGTCACTTTTTCACTATTTAGAGTGTTAAGTTTGCCATATGGTTGGCATTGAGCTCTGTGTAAACTTCAGGCTGCGCACACAGATCAACTTACCCTCAGTCTTTCAGCAGTTCCTGAATGCATACCAGGTCCTGTGCCAGAGTTTGAAAATAAGAGCACAAACAGAACACCGTTCCTACCCTCAAGGAGCTCACAGTTATGTGGGAAGGGCAGAGACTGGGTACTGGGAGCACAGAGCCCAGGAGGCTTCTCTGATTTGCTTTTGAGGCAGGTTCTAGTTTTTGTTTGTGTGTGTATTTGCTACAGGGCCTATGTGTTTGGGGTGAGAGACAGAGAAAGGAAAAGAGATGGGGAAATTGAGAAATCATCCCCCTGGGTTGGGTGGCCACACCCACAATCCATGATCCTCCATTCGCCTCTCAGAACTTTGGGCATACACGCATGAGCACCGATACGTTTTTCAAGCTTCTGGGCCAGGACTCAAGCCACAGTCAGCCACATGGGATCTAGCTGCCCTAACCACCATATCCCCAGCTGGTCCTGGGCTAAGTTTTAAGAACAATCAGTAAATAGCTAGGAAAAGAAGGGAGGCACAAGGGCATCTCAGGCCAGTGAAAGAGCACAGATACGTACAAGGACATGAAGCAGCATGGAAAGTTTGATGCTGCAAGTAGGTTGGTATTGCTGAAGCTTCAGGAGATGTGAGAAACAGCAGAAGTGAACCTAGAAAGGTAGGTGACAGCCAGGTCATGAAGGATTTTGTGAGTTCAGCTGCAGGGTTTGAACTCGATACTGAAAGGAACTATCACAGGACTTCAAGCAGAGACGTGGTCAGATTTGCTTTTAGGAAGCCCATTGACAGCTATGTGAAGGGTGGCTGGCCGGGTACCAGTCCACAATCACAGGGGCCACTTGGCATTTTGCAGCATTACAGATGAGAACGAGCATGGACCTAAGTTAAAAAAGGGGTAGCGGGGGACCAGCAGATGGCGTAATGGTTATAATGCTGGATTCTCACCTAGTCAATTGTGGTTCGAGTCCTCGACCTGGTGACTTAAAGCACTCCGGGCATATTTACATGCATACCCAAAATCACTAGAAGAGAATGGAGAAGAGATTGCAGTGTGGCCATCTCTGCTGGGGGGTGATTTCTTGCTTTCTATCTCTCTGACTCTCTGGTGAGTGCATGCACCCTATAGCAAAAACCTCTCTTAAAAAAGAAGAAGAAGCGGTAGTAGAAAAGAGTCAGGAGAACTCTGCAGGGACTTGGGAGCAAATGGGCTGCACGGGGTAAGATAGAGGGAGAGGTTAAGCAAGACTTTAGGTTTCCCGCTTCTGTAACCATGTGGCTATGTTCCTTAATAGTGTTGATTGAACAGATTTATACCAAAAAAATATAAAATTTGGTTTAAAAAATATAGAGATTGGAGACTTGTAGTTTATCTGGATACCTTATTTTTACTACAACTAAATGAATGTATTACCTGGCGATGTCTATCAAAGAGAATACTTATTTCTGAGCTACTACAATTTGCTGAGAGAGTTAAAGGTCAGCACCAAAGAATAATTCAGCTTTCCTGCCTCTTAGGAGGACTCGGTTCTGTGAGTAACAAAGCATAGCAGGGCAGGAAATGTGCACACGAAAAGCAGTGGAAGGTTGAAGAGAAGCAAGAGAGGCCTGGCTGGCACAGTGCATGCTGAACATGGCTGGTTGGGC